CGCGGGCCTCTCTTCATGCACCCGTGCGCCGAGGAGCGACTGCGGGAAGATGGCTGGTGCGGGGCACGCGTGCACGGGTGTGTTGAACTCCGGAAGTCCCTGTGGGGCACGATCCGCGCGAAGGGTGGGCCGAGTAATTCGGATACCCTCGCGCGAACGCCCCAACTCAGACCACAGGTGGACCTCCTCCAGGCACGACCCGTGCGAGGCATGTTCCCAAATGGGCGGGGGTGCGCCATGCGAAGCTGCCGATTGGTGCCATAAGCGGAGCTCCTTCCAGAGCATGGTTCGCGTGACGTGTCTGCCGACATGGGCGGGGGAGCGCTGTACGAAACTTGTCTTTTTAGGTGGCGCTCCTTATGGGCACGATCCGCGTGATGAGGTGTGCCGCAATGGGCAGGGCGGGTACAGTGCAAGTTTTGCCTTTGGGGCCGTAGGTGGAGATCCCTGTGGGCCACGATCCGTGTGCGAGGTGTGCCGAAGTAGACGGGAGGGCGGGATGCGAACCTTGTGGCCAGGGCCGTCAGAGGAACTTTTTGCGGGCCACGATCCGTGTGAGAGGTGCGCATAAGTGAGCAGGGCGACGTTATGAAGCTTCACTCGGGTGCTGCACATGCAGCGCTATTTGTGGGGCAAGATCCGCGTGAGGGGCGTCCCACTATGCGAACCTTGTTTCTGGGGATGTTGGTGGAGCTCCCTGTGGGGCGCGATCCCTGTGTGGGGTGTGCCAACAATGGCGGGAGAACGCCAGCCAAGCTTGTCTCTGGGGCCGCAGGTGGAGCTCCCTGAGGGCACGACCTGTGCGACAATCGAGGTTCTCACTATTTACTACAAGTAGAGCTTACTAGAACCTAAGCGCTCGAAGCGCGCGCGCGCGTGTGGTTCTAGTCATCCCTCCTCCTCCTCATCATCGTCATCATCACCACCATCACCATCACCATCACCATCACCATCACCGTCATCATCATCATCATCATCATCACCAGCTGCAGCAGCATTATTATCACCATCATCGTTATCACCATCATAATCACCATCACCCTCACCCTCACCATCACCATCACCATCACCATCATCATCATAATCATCATCATCATCATCATCATCATCATCATCATCATCATCATCATCATCATCATCATCATCGTCATCAGCATCAGCATCAGCATCAGCATCAGCATCAGCATCATCACCATCACCATCACCATCACCATCATCATATTCCGTGGCCCCATAGGGCGCTCCACCTAAGGCCCCAGTGGCTACGCCCGCAAGCCGCCACCCCCTCATTTTGGAACACCCCTCGAACGTGTCGTGGCCCCATAGGAAGCTCCACCTTAGGCCCCAGTGGTTGCGCTCGCATGCCGGCACCTCCTCATTCTGGTACACCCCTGACACGTTTCGTGGTCCCATTAGCGAGCTCCACCTAAGGCCCCAGTGGCTGCGCCCGCATGCCGCCCCCCCCCTTCATTTTGGCACACCCCTGATACGTTTCGTTTCCCCATAGGGAGCTCCACCCAAGGTCTCAGTGGCTGCGCCCGCAAGCCGCCACCCCGTCATTTCGGCACACCCCTCACACGTTTCGTGGCCCCATAGGGAGCTCCACCCGAGGCCCCGGTGGCTGCGTTCGCATGCCGCCACCCCGTCATTTTGGAACACCCCTCACACGTTTCGTGGCCCCGTAATGGGCTCCACCGAAGGCCCCGTTGGCTGCGTTCGCATGCCGCCACCCCCATCACATTGGGACACCCTTCACACGTTCCGTGGCCCCACAGGGAGCTCCACCTAAGGCTCCGTTGGCTGCGTTCGCATGCCGCCAGCCCCCTCACTTGGGCACACCCCTCGCACGTTTCGTGGCCCCACATGGGGGCTCTACCCAAGGCTCTAGTGACTGCGTTCGCATGCCGCCCCCTCTCACTTTGGCACGCCCCTTGCACGTTTCGTGGCCCCATAGGGAGTTCCACCGAAGGCCGACCTCCAGCGGACGCGCCTCGCCAGGGTGCAAGTCTCGCCACTCATCATGCACTCCAGCTTTGTCGAGGCGTGGCCCTAGGCTCCCACGGGCGTCTCGACGCCTTCCCCAATCGGAGCCGGCTTTTCGCCCCGAGCCGATTTTTGACGGTCCCGGAGCCTGTTTGGGGGCTCTCCCTGCGCCTTTCTTCGGGGGCGGAAAAGAGGGGGGTGATGACTAGAGGGGGGTGGATATCATGGCGGGGGTCACGATGTTTCTCCAGATCTCATGGCGCCTCTTCTTACTTCACTACGTACATGGCCTCCCCGCTGGGCCGCGCACATGCTGCCGGTCATGATTTGCACCCCTCCATCTTGGACACCCCCCTCTTGGCCGCTCCCGACCTCTGGGACCGCGCAGCGAGCGCGTTGGAGCGCCCGGAGGGCCGGCTGACCTCGGCGCCCCCCTGCGGGCTGCTCCAGCGCCGGCGCCCGCGTGCGGCGGCCCCCCGCCCCGTTGCGGCGCTCTCCTGAAGCATCTCGCGGCTCCCTCGGGAGCTCCACAGATGGTCTGGCATCGCTCGGACGTGTGTATTTTTTTCTCGGCGAGGACCCCTGAGGAGCATCCTTGATCATTTGGCGAAAAAAAACAGGCACGAAACCAAAAAAACACAGGGAATGGACGTCCGAGCGATGGCGAGATGGCGGTTCTCACACTGGCGGTGCTCACACCTGCACACGGTTGGGTTCTCAGCCAGGATCCTTGGCGCTGCGCGCTTCTGGTGCGACGAGAACTCCCAGGAACCGCCCAACAACTCCCGACACGACGACGGCGACGACGATGGCGACGGCGCGACGGCGACAGCGACCGCGACGATGGCACGGCCATCGGCGACGGCCATCGGCGACAGCCATCGGCGACGGCCATCGGCCCATCGGCGACGACCGATCTCTGGATGTCTCCCCGAGCGCATCCCGGCCTGGATTTCGAGGCGGATCCAGCCGTGGCGACGAGAGTCAGGAGAGAAAGAAACACGCAGACACAATTTATCCTCGACTCCCAGGAAAATCTGGGAAAATATGGGAAGTGGGGGGGAAGACGCAAACCCAGAAAATATGGGAAGATATGGGGGATCTGGTTATTTGTTGTGTGCATTTATTTGTGTGTCCCAGGGCCCCTTCAGGCAGCGCCTCTCGGGAGGCCTTCGGCGGTGGGCGGGACGGCGCCTCGGCGAGGGAGTCGGCGGCGACCCGCGCGCGCGCCCCCTGCCGCGGGCTTCTCCCCGCGGGCCGCTGTGCTGCGGCAGGCGCCCGCACCGCCGCGGGGCGAGGAGGCGCCGGGGGCGCCGGAGCGAGGCGCCCGCAGCGGACCTCCTCCGCGTCTCCGCTTCCGCCTCCGCCGCCGCCTCCGCCGCCGCCGCCTCCGCCGCCTCCTCCGCGCCTCTCCGCTCTTCCGGCGCCTCCCTCTTCTCCGCCCTCTCTCGCTCCTCCTCCGCCTCCCCCTCTCTCTTCCGCGTCTTCCTCCGCCGCCTCTTCCGCCTCCGCCGGAGTCCATGCTCAGCGTGGCTCGCTCTCCCTCGCCCGTCGCCGGCCTCTTGTGATATCTGTCGTCGCCACGGCTGGACTCCCCTCGAGCTTCTGGCCAGAGCGCGTTTCTGTCCAGATCCAAGGGTCCCCCTCTCTCTTCCCTCCTCTCTCTTCCTCCCTCCTCCTCTTCTTTCCTCTTCCTCCTCCTCCTCCTCCTCCTACTCCATGTTTTGTGCCTTTGTTCGGTATTTTGCCAATCACTGAACTTTCATTTGATTCGTCTTCTTCCCCCCTTCTCCTTCACGTCCTCCTCCCTCTCCCCCTCCTGCTCGAATCCCTCCTTCTCCTCCTGCTCCTCTTCCTTGAGGTTTCTGCCTCCCCTTCTCCTCCACCGCAGAGCTGATGGCATGAGTGTCGATCCGACGCTGCCTCCCCTCCTCCACCTTGTCCTCTTCCTCATCCTCCGCCAGTGCAGTTCGTGTTGTCACCCCTTGGAGAGCTTGCGCAGTCAGTCTTTTCGGCTTCTAGAGTCTTCTCGTGCCCACGGCTGGACTGTTGAATCGGGAGAAAATGCATCCCACAAGGACACTGGGGGTGAATTTTTCAGCCCCCCCCCCACCTGTGTCTCCTTCTCTCCTCCTCCTTCTCCTCCTCCACTCCCTTCTCTTCTTCCTCCATTCTCCTCCTCTAATCACTCTCTCTCTTCTCCTCCTCGTCTCTCCTCCTCGTCCATCTCCTCCTCCTCCTCCTCCTCCTCCTCCTCCTCCTCCTCCTCCTCCTCCTCTCCTTCCTTCCCCTCCGCGACGTTGTCGTCGGGGGTCGACGGTCGTCGTCGTCGTCGTCGTCGTCGTCGTCGTCGTCGTCGTCGTCGTCGTCGTCGTCGTCGTCCTCGTCGGAGGACAGGGCGGCTGAGGGGGAGGCAGAGGATGATAACATGGGGGCTAGCAGGGGCAGGAGCAGGAGCAGGAGCAGGAGGAGGAGGAGGAGGAGGCTGAGGCGGAGGCGGAGGCGGAGGCGGAGGAGGAGTAGGAGGAGGAGGATAACCACGCGGTTTTCGAAGACATGTGGGAGCCGATACAATGGTTTCCTAGTTATTCGTTTTTTGATTGTATGTTGTTCTTGGGTCTTCCAGGTTTCGGAGGTTCTCCGAAGGGCCTCTGGATGTTTCAAGAGGGGCAGGAGGAGGAGGAGGAGGAACAGGAGAAAGAGGAGGAGGAGGAGGAGGAGGAGGAGGAGGAGGAGGAGGAGGAGGAGGAGGAGGAGGAGGAGGAGGAGGAGGAGGAGGAGGAGGGAGGAGGGAGGAGGAGGAGGAGGAGGAGGAGGGAGGAGGAGGAGGAGGAGGAGGAGGAGGAGGAGGAGGAGGAGGAGGAGGAGGAGGAAAGAGAGGAGGCTGGGGCAGGAGGAGGAAGAGGAGGATGAGCAGGAGGAGTGTTGAGCAACCGCATGCGGGAATGAGATCAGGATCGGTTCAAAGCGAACGATGCCAGGACTCCATTGTTCTACTGACTCGCACTATCAGCAGCATGCACTACGTACGTAATACGCAATTGCTCAAGATCCACGCGCATACATTGATCTCGGAGTACTTCGCCATCATGAGCGAGCAGGTAACAATTACAACTCACCAGGACATGAAGCTCGAGTGCGACATCATGATGACCTACGTCGAGGCACCGCTCAATTACGTCCTCAGGCACGAAGGACTAGGGAAGCGCGTCTTTCCAGGATGACCCACAACCAGACCTTTCTCGCCCACGTCGTCAACCACTAGCTCGCTACGATGCTCACGCGCCCGATCGGTGACGACTGCGAAGACATACCGGCTCCAGCTGCCGTGGACTACCAGTGCCGCAACCTACTCATGTACATCAAGTTGGGCATACGCTGCAACACTACTTCCGAGCCCGTGCAGTTCGCGATCACCAGCTGCCAGAGGGACACCGCCACCGCAGCCGTTAAGCAGATCAACGAGCTGATCAACGCCCAGGGATACCAACAATTAGGCAATGCCGCAGGATAGGCAGCCCACGAGGACAGAAACCAGGAACCACATGGCGCAGCTGCTCCAAAAGGCACCACCAACAATTGCGAGCTACCCGGCTACCCAACACAATCATGAGCAGTGACCTAGCGACAGAACCACAGTTCCAAGGCTCACCGCCAGCTTTACACACACCAGAAGTGCATGAGGAGCTGCGCTTCGACAGCACCATGTCCAGGCTCAACCGATTGGACGAAGCCTTCTGCCAGTACTCGCAAGAGTGTCTAATCTCCGGCACGCACCCATGGTTGGAGAAGCCTGACAGCGACCACTAGCAGAATTCAGCACCAATCCGCACGATACTCACCGACTCCAAGACAACGACGCACGACGACGACGTCAGCCCTGCCGGCCCCACCAGAGACACAAGGACAGACTTCCCATCTAGAGGAAAGACGGGCACGCACGACAGCCCTATGGACCTGCAAGACGAGAAGGTCCACCCGTTCGATGCCGCCACAGCGATCGGAGCAGAGACAGCGTTGCAGCCGTGGCCACCGCATTTATGACATCGCCTACCAGCTCGAGTGCAATACCCTGGCGAATCAGGAACCTCCTCCTGGCCGCTCACAGTTTTCGGGGCACAGGCGTCAGGATGGGACCGACCGAACGGCGGCCCACCAGTGCGTCATCCTCTTTTTCCAATTTCGATTCTCGTCCAGCGACAGTCAGCATATCCTACTGCATCCAGCTGCTCCATTCCAGCTCCACGCCTCCGTGCGATACTTCCGCCAAGCTCTCGCTCTCGCTGGGGCTGCCAGCAGCAGCGCAGCTAGCCGCAGACAAACCGCACCTCCGCGACCTCTTACCGGCTGCTGAGAGACGGCAGGGCATGGCACCACGCGCCCAACCACGCAGCACCGCGCAGGGCGAGACTCCTTCAACAGCTGTGCTATGCAATGGGTCCCCGAGGGGCTTTCTCACCGACCTATGCTACATTGTCCGACGTGGTAATGCTCTAGGCCTCCTAGATGGGGTCGGAGCAGATTGGGTTGGAAGATCGCGCCGCATCGCCGACGCATCGCCGATGTGGCTCAATGTGGAGCACGAGTTTCCCCACGCCGACGCCGCCGATGCAAGCCGACGTTGCCGATGTATCGCCGATGCATCGCCGATGCATCGGCGATGCGGCGCGACCCGTTGACCTCATCTACTCCGACCCCCATCGGGGAGGCCTCGGCATGCAGTGGGTCCCTGCGGGGCTTTCTCACCCACGGAAGAGACAGTCAAGGCAGATGATGGCCTTTGCCAACCTTCATTCCCTACTGGCTCACCTCCACACTAACCTTCTACCACCTCCCCTCTCATGGTGGCGGGATGGGTAGGATGATATGGGTCGGGAAGGGACCAGAGAAGGAACTTACCGCTGGCCGTCCCTGCAAGGGCCGGGGCGGCCGCGGGCCGCATCGCAGCCGCCCAGAGCCACAGCCAGAGGTCACCCACCAGATGTCCAGCCTCGAGCTCACCGCGACCGTTCAGCTGCTTCTCTGCACGTCTGTCCCTCTTCGAAGCTCACTTGCCTCGTGAATCCGCGCTGTCTACCGCCGCGCGCTCTCCTACAGCCTTCACAGCAGCCGCGACCCTCGGTCGCCTGCCGCGCTAGCAGCGGGGGTGTCGTCGGATGGACCACGGCTGTATCTGGGCTGGGGGCGGGTTCTATGCCGACAGAGCTGTACCACCGACACGGAAGGCATAAACCTCCACCACGGTGGAAATCCCCCAACGTTCCCCCGGCCCTTTCGGTCTGGGTACCCCACTCCTTCTTCGAAGGGGGGGGGTACCAGTCGCGGGGCTGCGGGGCGCTTCGGGGAATTTCCGATGTGCAAGTGGAGAGTTCTTTTATGCTTTCCTGTTTTGGGAGGGTGGCGCCGCTCACGGGCGTGAGCTATGCAGCGGCGCCGCTGAGCGGCCCCGCGGAAGAATCTCGCCACCCGCCGCTATCCCACGCCCACGTTTTGCAGCTCTGCTAGCATGCCACCGCCGCCGCGCTTGAGCCACCTTCACTCATCTCTCCCCCTTGAGGCCATTCCCTGCATCTTAGACGTCGCCCACCGCTCTAGCTGCCCTCACGCGAGCCACGCCTCGCCGCTGGCGACGCAGGGCGCCCTCCAGGGAACTGGCCTCATTTAGGCCAGTTGCCCCGGAGGAGGGACGACCTGGCACCGAGGCGCAATAACGCCACGGTCCCAGGGACCTCCCTTTCGATTTTGTTCTGCCACCTAGTGCCGCTGCCGCCGCACACAACCACCTCGCTCATGTCTCCTTCCTTTGAGGTCCTGATTCTTCTCTCCTCCCTCCTTCACCTCTGCTGTCCTTCACTCTTTCTAGTAATCTCCGACAGCCCGTGCTAAACACCGCGGGGCTTAGTTCGATCTCCACGCGAGGGCCGACCAGCCCTGGGGGGGGAGGGCCACGGTCGGATACTCTTCGGGCCGTCAGGAAAGAGAAAGCAGCAGGCGGAAACCGCGCCCTCAACCTCAGCCTCAGCCTCTTGTTCCTCCCCCTCACGTCGCCGCCGCCGCCGCCGAACCTTAGCCTCAGCCTCTTGTTCCTCCTCCCCCCACGTCGCCGCCGCCGTCGTCGTCGTCGTCGTCGTCGTCGTCGTCGTCGTCGTCGTCGTCGTCGTCGTCGTCGCCGCCGTGTGATGGTTTCGCGCCCCTCGGAGGCGCCGCCGCCTGCGAGGGGGCGGACGTCGCCAACGGCGCCCTGCGTGTGCGGGTGCTGTCGAACTGGGGTGACGCGAGGCAGTGCGGGCTGTCCCTGCTGGAGGCCTTGGACGAGAGCGCCGAGGCCACGGCGAACGACGAACACGCATCCGTGTCCGCGCCCCGCGGCCTGAGGCACCGCGGCGCGATCCCGTGGACGGTCCGGCGGGTGCTCCACCGCGCGTGGCACCCGCGCGGAGCCGCTCCGCGTCCGTGTGGTCGCGGCCGAGGAGCCTCGGACCGAGGGGCCGTGGACGTGGCGGCGTTCGATCCCGCGAGGTCATGCGGATCCCCCGCGCCTCCGTGTCGCTGCGGGGCACCCAGAGCGGCGCGAACACCCTGCCGCGCGTGCTGGAGGGCAGGCCGGACACGACGAGCGAGAAGCAGATGTGGCTCGCGACGCTGTGCCCCAGAGACGGCGGCGGCTTCGAGCCCGTCGAGATCGTGCTGAGCTGGCCGGCGGGCCTCGCGGCGCCGTCCGCCCTCAGGCTGTGGAACTTCAACAGCCCCGACGGCCTCGACAAGGGCGCGAGGCGGGTGGAGGTGCTCTGGGCCTCCCAGAGGGGGTCCCGAGCAGGTGGGGTCGGAGGATCGTGCCGCATCGCCGGTGCATCGCCGATGCGGCTCGATGTGGAGCCCGTGTTTCCCCACGCCGACGTCGCCGATGCATCGCCGACGTCGCCGATGCGGAGCGATCCTTCGACCCCATTCGGGCCGGACGAAAGTGGGGGGGAAAGGGGGGGTTGCGAAATCTGCTGCATGCAGCTGGTTTCGGCCCCGCCGCCGGGCCCATTCCTCGATACATGGCCACCTCCCGGCGCCTCCCGGCGCCGGGGCCCTTCCTCGATATACATGGCCGGCGCTGCTGGGAAGATCCGCTACGAGAACTGATTCTCAAATACCCCCTTTCCCCGACCTTCCAGAGTGCTAACAATTAGCACTCCAGACCTATAGACCTATCTGGACTGCCCCAAACCTCGACAGCAATTAGGCCGTCGACGCCATGGTGCTATTTTTTAGCCCTCCTGGAAGGTCCGGGGTTGCTGTCCCCCACTTTCGTTCCCCCCGGGGCCATTCCTCGATACACATGGCCGCCTCCCGGCGCCGGGAGGCGCCGGGAAAGTCAGCTACGAGAGCCGATCCTCAAGCCCCCCCTTTCCCTGACCTTCCAGGAGGGCTAAAAAATAGCACCAGGACGTCGACGTCCTAATTCCTGTCGAGGCTTGAGGCAGTCCAGATAGATCTGTAGGTCTGGAGTGCTATTTTTCAGCCCCCCTGGAAGGTCAGGGTGGCTGTCCCCCGCTGCCGTTCCCCCCGGGAGGTGTGCCGCGGGGCAGACGCGGTGTGGTCCGGGGAGCTCCCGCGGGGCACCGGGTCCTGCCACGCGGCCTCGGCGCTGGCGCCCCTGCGGCCCGGCTTCGCGGCGCCGGCAGGCGCGGCCGCCCGCCGTCGCCCCTGCGGCCTGCCCGCGCGCCTCGCCGAGGGCCCTCCTGCGTTTCCTCGGCGGCGGGCGAGGGAGGGGTCGGAGGTTGATACAGTTCGCAGCTTGCCTTAGGTTTTCCTTGGGTTTTCGATCTGAAGTCGAAGTTTAACTTATGGAAAATAAGGGCCTTGTTCCTTATTTAGGGTTCCTTAGGTCAACGCCCCGACTGTAGACCTCCTACCCTGACACGTCGATTCAGGAATTGGCCGTTTTCGGTTCGCGAGAGGGCGTCGCGGCCGTCATTTTTGCGGGTCCAGGCCCGTCGGTTTCGGTCTTAGGCCGTTTTCACTAAGGGGAGGTTTACTAAAGGGAGGTTTGTCCACCGCCGAAGGGGGGGAACTTGGAGGTCGAACTTCGAGGTTCGAGGTCGTCGGGCTTCTCGGCGGTCTTCTGCCCTCGGGATGCGTTCCAGCGGCTGCGCCTCGCCGAGAGCGTTCTGGGGGTGCCCAGATCGTCCCGAACGGCCACCAGAGAGCCGAGTCACGACCCAAAAACCATATTCAGTGGCGCGTTCGGGGGAGAAGTGAGAAGGCGAAGGCCTTCTGAGAAGGCGGCGGGGCTTCTCAGGAGCCCTCGCGCCTTCCGAGAGAGTTTTTTTTGGTCATCGGGGAAGAATTGGAAGATCTCCCAGGAGGCCGGGGGACTTCCGAGCCTTCTGAGAAAGCCTTTTTCTCTCACGCGATCGCAAACATGGATCAAGGGGGCGTGGATTAGCGACGGGTCCCTTTTCCATGGTAAATCGCTGATTTCCGCCGCCGAACGAGGCGGCACCGGCCGCATTCTGGGGATGGCACCTCCCCCGATCTATGGATCTGCCGGCCGCGCGCCAAGTCCATGGATCGCCAATCAATGTTTGCGCGCCCCCGATTCTCACTTCCCCCCGTGCTCGCCGCCGATAGGGGGTCACAAGCGAACCCTACCCCTACCCCCCACGACTTCTGAGGGGGAGGGTGGGGTTCACTTCATTCGGGAGGTCACGAGCGAAGTGAACCCCACCCTCCCCCTCAAAAATCGTGGGGGGTAGGGGTAGGGTTCGCTTGTGGCCCCCTAGCCGACTTCCAGGGAGCGCCAGCAGGGATCTCGGGCGCGTGGATCCGCGCCGGGCCCTGTTCCCGTGCGGGAGCGGCGGGCTCCGTCGCCTCCTGCTTCCGGGTGCCTTCTCCGATCCCTGTCCGCGCTGCGTGCGTCCGGTCCCGGGAGGTCCGAGGATGGAGGCTCGAGGACCGAGGTATTAATACGACGCGAAGATCGGGACAAAATCGGATCGGGATAACTCGAAATCTCTGAGAATCGGCGGGTTTGGAGGATGTATTGGGCGCCGCGGCCGCTCCAGAGCGTTCCGGAACGCTCTGAGATCGCTCCGGAACGCTCTGGAGCGATTTATCCCGATCCTAGCCCTGTTTTAGGTATGTTGGTGGATGGTTTTTCTGTGTTTCAAGCAGTGGCGAAGCGTCCTGGCTCGCCCACAAGGCCTACCAAAGAATGTTCCCCAAGAACCTTTCGTGGTTTCCACGACATGTTCTTAGAGCACTTCTGGCTGGGACTGCCTCGCTTTAACACATCGGGACTAAGTACCAAGAACATTGTTTTTGCTCTTAGAACATGTCTTCGGGTCGGGCGAAAGGGGGGGTTTGGGAAAGGGGGGGGTTACGAAATCTGCTGCATGCAGCTGGTTTCAACCCCGCCGAGGGGTCCATTCCTCGACACGTGGCCGCCTCCCGGCGCCGGGAGGCGCCGGGAAAATCAGCTACGTGAGCTGATTCTCACCCCCCCCCTTTGCTATCCCCCCCTGTCGCCCGACCCGATTGTTGGGTTCTGAGAAGATGTCGTGGTGGGCGTATAGGCATGCCGGGACGGTCGGTCCCTGCTCCAGTGTCTCCCGGGGCGCTCTCGCTGCCGCGGCCGGGTCCGCCCTGGCGGTTCTGGTCTGATCGCGCCCCTGGACGGGTTCGCGGGCCGATCGGGGTCTTCGAGAGCTCCACACGGGTTTTAAGGCAATCGTGAAGTCGAGCGTGTTCCCCTACAGGGGGATGTCCCCCTACAGGGGGATGTTCGAGGGGATGTGGCCCCCTACAGGGGGCCGATCGGGGTCTTCGAGAGGCCTCCGAGGCGGGTCCTCCTCGGACCCCCCCCGACGCGAAAAGTTGCTCCGCACGGGCTTTAAGGCCATCGGTAAGTCGGGCGTGTTCCCCTACACGGGGGGGCTTTTCGACGAAAAATGAAAGAACCCAGAAATGTTCAACAAATAGTCCAGAAACAGTCTGGGGACAATTTTCTGAATATTTTTTTGACTTACTCGGTGTATTTTTTGGGTATTTTTTTGTTTTTCGTCGAAAATCCCCCTGTAGGGGGACAGGCCCGACTTAATGGTACTCTGGACTGCCGAGCACGGCTCGGGATGAAACGTTAGACCTGTAGTCTGCCTGTCCCCTTACAGGGGATTTAAATGAAAATGCCCTTCAGGAGCTTTGGGGTGGAGGTCATGCAACCACTGTTTTTTTGCTCTGGGGATTGCTCGGGAGTCGTTTTTTTCACGGGCGAAGAACCGCTGTTTTTTTGGTCCGAGGGTTGAGTCAAAAAATGATTGGCCTAATGCCGTTGAAATCAATATGATGTATCGTTTTGCTTGTAGATAGGTGAGGGCGGTCCGATTGACTTGAAGCAGGTCGCGACGTCAACAACCCACAACACATGTGAGATAACTCAGGTATTGGGCCCAATGAGAAGGCCATCTGTCTGAGATCTCGAAAAGCCCCCAAAAGATAACAGTCACGCTCAAGGCCCCCCAAAGTAAGATACTTGCCCCAAATGATATCCCAGAAACGTGTGCGTGTGTGTGTGTGTGTGTGCCGCAGCCCTTTGGGTCCAGCCCGTTCATCTCAGGAAGATGATGTTCGATGAACGAGCTTGATGATTTGATTGAGGATGAATTGGACTTTTCTCGTGGTGAACTGGACGATTTGATTCAGGATGAACTGGACGATTTGATGCATGGTGAACTGGACGATTTCATTCAAGATGAACTCGGCACGGCGCCAGCGGAGTCGGAGCCGCCCCGAGATGCTCGCAGTCCTCGCCCACTGGATCTCGAGTTGGCAGACCTTGCACATGCCAGGCCGATGGTGTCAGCCGCGCGGGATACTCGTGGCCGACCGCCAAGAAGGCCTCTCTAAACCACCAGGTCTAGCCTTGCAGCGCAGCAGCCAGTCTCTCAGGACGACCCAGCACAGCTGGTCATGCATTACGCCGACGTCGTACAAGTGCCAGCAGATGTCCCAGATGTGCCATATGATTTGGAAACCATGTTACGAATCCGCTACATCGAGTTTCTCCCCAGCCCCGTGTGCCAACACTTGGAGCAGTTTGTCGGTCTTGCGTTGACACCTGGGACGCGTCTGGATCCGAAGTCTGCGCACCTTGCGAGAAACCTTCTGAGATATGATATAAGTACCGCCCAGAGGCATTTAGAAGTTCTGGCCCACGACTCGTCCATGCACCCTGTTACGGCATCCAGGCACAGGACTCTTCTTGCGCAGATTTGTTGGGATCTAGATGTTTCGAGTAGGCTTAGCTTCGATCGGGCACTGATTCGTTCACCACAGTTTTCAGCATTACACTTGTGCGAAGTCGACATGTACGACGAGACTCCGATGCCAGTGCGGTTGAGGGACAGGATCGAGGAACTTCAAAATGAGGAAATGTTTCGTGGTTTTCAGCAGTCATCCTTGTGGAACTGGAGCGATGGCGTCATTCGGTTCTCGGAGTCTGGCCCCGCGAAGCTGTTCCAAGTCGAAAGTGTTTGGGGAGCATTGGCATCGATCGAGGACCAGGGGGCCGTTCGATTCATCATGTTCACGGGGAAAGCACTGTCAAATCTCCAAGTGTTCGACCGAGTAACTGGGGAGACAACTCGCCAAGGGCTCAGGCAGATCTGGACGACATCTCACATGTGCACGGAGTACGGTCAGCGTACCCGCGGATCTGTCACGGACCGAGGGGCCGCGAATGGAGCCGCCGAGCGTGGAATTCGATGTGACAATCCTGGCTGGCAACACTTGCACTTGGACTGCCACGCCCATCTCACAGCGCTCGTGTTTGGCAAGGCGTGTTCGGCGTGTGAATGGCTCGTCACGGGCATGATCAGGACCGCGCTGGCTACGCAGATGGCGGGGTCCATGAGCCATTTCAGAAGATGCTTGAAGTTGCAGATTCGTTCGATGGTGCAATTCACTACTGGGGAGCCTCCAACGGAATGCGGCTTGCATGTGCGACGCGTTGTAGCTATGTACGGGAGGTCTGGCCACAACCTAGTTCAACGACTTGTGGTGTTGAGAATGTTACCCAACGGCGATTGGACGGACAAGGCTCGCATCGTCATCTACGCGCCTGCGTTGCCGCGGGATGATGCCCAAGCGAAGCTCTGGACTGATCGCATTGTCGCTGGCTTGTGCTTCGCGGTGTGCCCACCCACGTTCAAGAAGTTCTCTCGGAACAGGTGGTTCGGCAAAGAGGTCAGTCTCGACCAAATCGGATTGCTGGAGCATTGCCACGGCCTTTTCTCGAGCACGTTCAGGAGGTGGGTATCGGAAGTGGACGGCGACCAGAAGAGGAAGCGGACCGCAGCTGCTTCTGCAGGTCCGTTCGCTGCCCCTGGAGTCCCTGGAGATCAGCCAGTTCTTGCCCTTTGCGACGCCCCAGGGGATGCCTTTGCTGATCCTGGCGCAGATGGTGCTGGCGACGGTGGCCCGCCCCTCGGCCACGAGGATGCGCAGCCACAACGTCCAGACGATGCCGAACGCGTGGTGGTGGAGGTGAACGCCCACGAAGCCCAGGAGCGTGTAAACTCTGAACATCGAAGGCGTGCTATGGTCTTCGCGAATACCGAGTTTCTGCATCACTTGGACGTCATGCGGATCGTCATGGTCCCAATCATGGAGATGTTCAGGGAGT